CCACGCCTAGCGAGCCGCTCTTCTTCCACAAGCCTGAATGTATCCAAGTCCTCCTTCTCTCAGAAGGTTCGTTCCAGGTGAGCAAGAATATGAAACACATCTGTATTCTAACCAAGCTGCTTCAGTGTTCAGCTCTTCTGTTTGGAAATCACTTCTGCAGGATTAAGTATAATCAAAAGTAACTTATTTTTCTTTTTCCTGGTTTTGTTTTTTACATTTCTTATCTAAAATCTTATGCATGAAAATAGTGTCCCCTAGCTGAAACTGAGATCCATAAATGACAGCAATATTCTGGCAAAAATGCAGTTTAAAAAACAAAAAAATTCTTAAAAAAAAAAAAAACCTCTAGATTCTTGCAGCTGAAATTACTTGTTTAGATTTTAAACCACACTATATTAGAAGACAAGCTCCACAGACAGCAAAGGTCAAATAACAGAAATATAAATTATAACTTTTCTTTTTTCTTAAAACTACATATCAACTAGATCTTAACTGAATCGTTTAAGAAGTCTCCTCCCTCCATATGTAAAAGAAACTCATGTACATGCATGCATGTACACACATGAAACTAGCATAACAATGGTACACCCAAATTAACTGTTAATTAATACAGTGTTGCAGTTAAAGGCATGGAAAGACTTTAGGAACTTGGGACTGGAAGGGCCAGCTGTGTTGCTGAAATCAGTTGACTGTCAAATGGGCCAGAAATAGGACAGATGTTTAGGCCATAGAGCATTTAATCCAGAGGCTATGACATACCATACCGTGCTTCCCAGAACTGAATAATCAACTTGTGCTTCTAAGAGCCAAAAATCCAAAGGCCAGAAACCACAACCTTCTCTGCCCAAGTGATTTGTTTTTAAATAAGTCTCACCTAGTACCATAGAACATATTGCTCTCTGCAATACTGAGAGGTCAGCAAGAAAAACAAGTCCACTGGCTTCTACGGGATGATTCTGGATTTTAACGGAGACTGGAAATTAGGTACAGGCCATATAAGCTCCAGTGCTGTTAATGCACATGTTCAGGGCCCACGACCAATACATATTTGTTGCACCCAGGGCATATGTAAGAGTTTGCAGGAGTCAAACACAAAAAGCTATAATTCGGGTTTCCAGTTTAAGGGAAAAACCAGTTTGTAGATGGCAGGATTAGAGAAAAATCTGGGCATGACAGATGCTATCATTATTCTGTGGGGTTTAGGTGCTTTTGTTTGCTTAGAAAAATCTGCATAGAATAACCTCTTAGTGAAAAAAAATGCTAAAACTCTGTATACATACCACCATTGCTAGTCCAGTACTGTACACACCAGCATGTTTTATGACACAGTCTGAAGACTTCATCATACATTTGGTTTTTCCTGTTAAAAAGTGGCAAGACAACCAGAAGAAAACTATGTAAAATCAAAATTGATCGTATGAGAGCAGTGATTCAACCAAACGCTTCTACTTAATGTATACCCAAGGTAAAAATAAGGCAAATGAACCTCTACAACCTGCAACCCACCCTCACGTCTCCCTTAGAGAGGTGATTATTGTCTGTCAAATTAATTATTGTCTGTTTTCAGCCAAAATGTCTTGTGCCAGTAGAGATAATGAGGCTACACGTTATTTTGCTATATGTTTTGAGGCGTGCTGAGCATGTTGCTAAGATTTCAAACATCAAACCACAGTACAAAACTTAGGTCAAAGTCAAGCAATGATATTATGAAAAGTTGTGTTTACTACTGTCGCTAGTTCTGTGCCCCCATAAAGCCATAATGTTGCTGTGAGCAAGGCTGAGGTCTTCTGGAAAAAAATACAGCTGTGCCTATCTGAAAAAATACATTTGCACTTAATAATTTAATTATTTAGAGGCGTATGTATATGTAGCTTTTTTTTTTTTTAAATCATGCAAACAAAGGGTTACTTCCTAGCCTAAATACTCTCCTTTATAGGCAGCAGTTGGAAGGAGGAAAAAGCCATAATCTGCAATTCAAAGCCTTTTTGCAGGTAAGCAAATAGGGTGGTGATCTTCCCCTGCTGCTTGCCTCTGAAGTGGCCCCACTAGAAAGATCCCTATAACCTCCCTATAACCAATAAGCTTGTTAACCAGCCCAGGTTATTGCACTGGGGTCATATCAATGGTGTAAGCTGTCCTGCCACAGACCCCTTTGTTTCTGTTAATGCCTATGTGAAGGAACCAACAAATGTTGCTCCTTGCAAACCCATTCAAGAGCTGCCAAAACCAAATTCTACTATGTGAAAAAGCAATCAAAAAAAGCAGTATAAAGCAGTATGCAGCGACAGCCAAGTTCTGTATCAGCTTGTCTGTCAGATACCAAATGGCACTCAGGGTGAGGAAGGACCACTGGCGGTCACAGCCAAGAAACATGAGGTGGTGGGGGTATTACTGGGTCTGCCGCAGTACAATACAGCTACCTTGCTCCTATCCCTCAGGGATTTCTCCAGGAAAGATGTGGCTGGTATACGGGGGCTGTTGCCAAGGCTTGATTAAGCACCAAATAGCTCTAATGGTCTTTGTCCTGGCAAACCCTGGGTCTCAACATCATTCTGTGTACTGTTATTAGGAATGCTTTTTCCTCCAGAAACATACTGCAGATTAAGATGAATTCAACACGTGGGAATCAGTTTCAGATGCATAATATACTGGAAAATAGACAATGTGTTTTTCACAATTCATTGTATGATGACAGAAGGAAGACTGATGAATGATGAAGCCTTGAAGACTACCACTGCACACTAACAGTCTGACTTCCAGAACTGCTCAGCAGCTGCAGGTCCCATCAAAGGCAACAGAAGCTGCAGATGTCAGCAGCTCAGAGTCAAACCGCAAAAAAGCCAAATTGTGTAAAGACAGTGATCTGCAAGGATGTGTTAAAACGCTAAGATTATGATATTCATCTCAAAGTATGAAATGATTAACTTCCCCTGCAAGCAAGCAATTTTTTAAAATTAAAGGGCTTTTTTTAGCCAGATTCAGAGCTCAGTCCTACTACTGGGAATCCTCCTCCAACTTCAAAGAACTAGCCTTCTAGCACATGTGAATAACACGAAAAGCATATTATATAACAAAACCATGCAAGATGCATAATGGACTGTTGCTTTAACTGATTTTAAAGTGATCAGCAATGCTACCCCCCAAATGCAGCATTTACTGGTTTTAAAGAGCACCTTTTTGGCAGTCAGTGCCTTTTCAACTTTGCTCCCAATACGACGCAATCTCAAGCAGTTATTCTAGGGAATGGCCAGAGACAAACGTTCTCAGTCCTAGAAGGCAGTAAGACAACTTCTACTGAAAAGAAACCTTGCGGAAACCCTTAGGGTCAGGGGCATAGGCACCAGTTTGCACGGTCATGCAAGAGTCTCTTGTCAAGGAGCATATTCACAGCAGGTATAAAAACCTGCTTCAGACATTAGAGGCACTCCAACTCCTGAAAGTTTAACAGTACAAAAGGGACTGGGCATAGCATGTTTTTCCTTCATCATTTCCACTTACCACACTGTGCGCAAATGGGTAATTTCTGAATTGAGTTACAGAAGTAGCAAAAAGCTCTATTCTTCTGTCGTCTAGGCACACAGAGAGAAAAAATGAAACAAAGCATTAAACGAGGTATAAAATGCTTGAAACCAATTAACACTAAACTGCTGGTTTTAGAAGGGGGAAAAGTACTCACCTTTGGCACTTATCGCATTCCTAAAGAAAAGAAATAAAATGCTGATAATTACTCTATGTAAAACATATAAAATGTACAGGTTCCAAAGTGACTTTGAATTAAGCTGTGATTAGATAACAAATGTCTTATTGAAGCATTATACCTCTGATGTTAATGTAATGTTTAATATAAAGGAAGCAAGGTAGGAAGAATAACATTCTAATGGCATTAAAATATAGTCAGTGTATCATTGTCATGGGTTTTACATCATTTAAAATCAAATATTTTAATATTTTGATTTTAATATCAAATATTTTATGTTATTTTTACCATTGAGGCATTGCAAGGATGCTTGGCTAAATCTATGTTCGCTCTTGAAGCCCTTATTTGCTTTTCGCGTTCACGACGATTCTCAGCTTTCTTTCGAGCACCAGTCTTCTTCTTAGGCATTTTTCACTTTCTGTAGGAGGAAATAAAGATATGCAATGAATGCACACAAGAACATATATGTAAACACATGGAATGAATGACACATCCAGCACTAAAACTGGATGTGGAGTTCCCACCAGTTAACTCCATTCATGTTTCAACTCCATTCATCTCCTTTTTTGACAGTTTCCTTTTTTTTTTTTTTCAAATGTAGAATAAGGGTCTGTCCCCAAAAACAAGAAGAATCTTGCGACCTGAAAAGGACTGTGCTGCCCTACACTCTGCACTTCACTATCTCTGAAGTGTTTTGCCTTTAAAATAACGTTACGCTCTGTAGGGTTGTTTGTGATTGGCCGTCTGTTTTTTGTTTGCCTTGCTGTCTATCTAATAGGACAACATTCAGCTCATTTCTTTCTCCTCTCACGCTCAGTAACTATTTATCTCAATCAGTTAAAAAGCATTCGTCAAGTAACAGAACTGCGGTGTACTGCAAACATGCACATTTCACACTTCACGAAGGCTTAGAAAACAAAATGTCATTATCATAGACTTAAGAGCTATGACAAAGGGATGTCTGCACTGCTTATTTATCGTTCTAGCACATTAGCAATAATGAAGCGCAGAGCATACACTGCTTTGGTGGTGCCACTGTTTCCCAAGAAGGGTTTTACTAATTTAACTCCATCTAGTTCAATGTGTGTCTATTTTAACATTCTACAATGTTAAATGTCTACAATTCATCTCTACAATGAACTCTGCAGTGCTCACAAAAGCTTAATTTACTCTTGCAATGTCCCTATTAAATTAGGCAAGTATTATCCTGACTTCATGAGATGGACAAATGGGAGATTAAAGGAATAGTTTGATGTTACAAGTTCTGTTTTCAGAGAAGGCATTTAAGATAGACATCTTACCTATTAAGATAGACTCCTTACACTCAGTCTTTATCATCTCCTCGGTTCTGTCAATGTAACTGTTCTTGGTGTCATATTCTAAACCAGATCCAGGTCAAAAAATGAAAGAGGCCCTCCCTGCCCGCTTCCACTCTCCCCTAAAAAGCAGATGAGCACGCCTGAGGAGGGGAGAGGGGCAAAAGGGGCAGCAGGATATTTGCTCAGCAAGCATGGTAGTAGGAAAGCTGAGGCAGAGACTTCTCCACTGTCAAAAGAAATTGTCTTGTTGAATACAGTTCTAAGAAACATTCCCAAGTTTGTGGCACAGATGCACGTTTCTTCATGCCAGCTACCCAACTGTCCTTCCTTCCAGGTGACGACATAGTTGGATTTTCAGAAGCACTTAACTCTTATTTGGTACTAAAGTGCTCATGTTTTGAAAACCTGGCCTGTTTAGCATGTTGCCCCAATGTATGTTGCACCGTACAAGTAATCCACAAACTCTCTAGCTACAAATACACTTAAAAGTGCTCCTTGCTCTGCCTCTAATTTCCAAAACCCCAGGAATATAATTTCAAACACCTCGTAACAGGAGAGCCATCCGTCATCTTAAAAGCTCAATCTCCATTTACGGACTTCATAGAGATCACTCTAGCCTTGGGACTTGGTAGAAATGGGCCCACGTGAATGGACAACTTTGTCCAAGCAAAGCTCTCTTGGCTCCAGTAGGTCTCTGGGAGGCTATGGGGGCCACTGGTGTGAGCTGAAACAGGCAGCGCCTGCTCTCTCCAGCCTCAAAACGGCCAGTTTTTATTCCCTTCTCTAACTGTAAATAGATATGTAGGCATGCACGCTAGCATCTGTAAGGAGAGCTACGGCACCAACATGCAGTGAATTGTTGCAACATAGACTGGGAATAAAAATTAGTATCTTTTTCTCAAAGGTCTTATGAAACAAACCCAACAATCCTAACTTTCCCAAACACAGAAATATATGGTCTTGACCAAATATTAAAATTTGTTTTTGATAGCGCACATAAATCAGTTTGTTCGCCCTGTAGCATTTCACACCATGTTTAAATCGTATTAGCGTCACATTTTGCAGTCAAAATTGCATTGCTGAGAAGCCTGCTGGCAACTGTCATTATTCTGGAGCGTGACATTTCTGACCCTGAGAGCCCAATATGAGGTTGCAGACTAATTTTCAAACTGCTTGAATACTGATTTAACAACAGAATCTAATGGTTAGTATTTATACCTTGACTTCTTCACATTATTTCATAATCCAAGGCACTGAAATGATAAACCATTTTAATGAAAAACTCTCTCTGTGACTACTGAGGACACAGATGATGAGAAATGGTTAAGATGGTAGTTTTTAGAAAGCTGCACTAAACAAAACAACAGAAATGTAGTGTCAGGTTCTTTTAACAAAACCAGCAAGTCACTCCTGACATTCAAACCATCCAATAAATGATAGCACCCTACAGACCAATATTCTATCACTCTTTCTCTGTGATCTTCCACTTAAGACGTCTTGTTGTCTTTGCCCTAAATTACAACTTCCCAGGGAACTGACCATTTTTTAATTTCCTGACCAGGGCTTGACAGTGTTAAGATAACAGAAATGATGACAGTAAAAACTTTATTCACCTGCAATTCTGTTCAAATCAGGATATCATAACCTTTTACAAGCACTAATCAGTATTTAAAAAGCCTATCCAGTATGCTCTAGCATGTCCATTTTACAGCAAGCAACGCTTCTGTAATCGGAGACTGAGGAATGAACCAAAAATGTGTTTAGGCATCACGACACTGCTACCAAATGCTAAAAAGGAAACATACAGTAATTGTTTGGAGTCCATCTCCCCTGTAGGCTGCACAGGAAAGAAAAGTGCCCCAGGTGTGACCTAGAACAACATGTCCATTTAGTAAGGAAACGCCTACAGCAAGCTACTCACTTCAGATCTGCAGGCCAGAAACGTCTGGTCAACCTTCTGCTTAAAAAGTCTCTCTTTGCTGGAGGCAGAGGCTGTTAGAGCTGCGGTAGCACCCTGCTCCTTTTCAGCTAAGGCTCTTCAGTCAGAGAAATCACCCAAGATGTGGTAGATCTGTGCTTAGTTTCCCCCCTCAGCCCAAGAAGGTAGAAACCCGCTGCCCTGCAGAGCACCCAACCTAGCAGATCACAAGGTGTTCTGCACAAGGCTTTTCCTCCATTTGAACGTTCCTACTCTGGAGCAAAAAGCTTCATATTCATGGAATCACAGCAGCAGCAGGAGCAAATGCGACTCTCCAACTTAACGACTGAGATTGTGGCACAGAGGGCTCAGTGTTTGTGTTCAGGTGTTGGCGGGGCATGTGTGAGGTAGGCTATAGTTCAGAGGAAAACCCCCAAAAGGTGTAGTGTGTATACTGGATCCTCAATACCAAGTCTTTCATCCTGCAGAACAGTTTCACCTACTGTCCCTCACGCGCAGTACTGTTGGCTAAGCAAAACAACCGGAGACAGCAGAGTTCCCACCATAGCTCCAAACGCTGCTTGTGTATTTTATCTGATGATTCTGCTATGTAAAATCCATAAACAGCATCTGGCCTCCAAATTCTGCTGAGAAGGTATCACATGTACAGCATTTTTTTTCCTTTAGAAGACTGTCCACTCCGCGTTCCCAAAGACGTGCAGTAAGTTTACAGAACACAGGAAAGCAGATTGCACCATCAGCTTTCTGGATCTCCTGTGCTGAGCAGGACATGCTGTGTCCTGCAGGATATTACTCTGTCCTATGGGATCTGCTAGCTACCCTGCTGTCACAAATATAATGAGGAGTTTTATCACGTTTCTGGGGGGACAAGAGGGCTGTGGGGTTACTCTTGTTGCGCCAGTCAAACAGCAGCACCCAAGAGGCTTTCCTTAATTTTTCTGCTTCTTGTATGTAACTATCCAATAGCTTCTGGGAATTATGCATATATTTCAGAAGAGGAATCATATGAGAAGTTCACTGCGACCGTTCAATTCCATCCAGGATTCAAGAAATTGTGTTTCACCGTTTTGCATGTACCATACAGGATTACAGTATTAACTATAAAAACTGTATTAGGATTATCCCCTATTTATGTTATTCCAGACAACGATTCTAATAACGAAATAATTTTCAGGGAAAACGCGTCCCCCTTCCCCCCCCTACCCCCGTCAGAGCAGGCAGCGTC